CTCTCTCTCTCTCTCTCTCTCTCTCTCTCTCTCTACCTCTCTCTCTCTCTCTACCTCTCTCTTTCTCTCTTCTTCTTCGTCATCTTCTTCGGCCTCACGGACATTCGCCTTCCTTTTCAGGTAGGTAATCCTCAACCTCGTCTTCGTCCCCCCACGGGCTATGGCAGTGTGCTCCCAAGATAGCTATGGCGCGCAGCAACTTTCTCCTGCAGCGGGTTTCCTTCTCCGCTGCGATGGTCTTCTCCAACCAGCGCGCGGTGGGCACAATCTTCAACAGTGAGTAACAACAGCGGGTGCACGCAATAATAACAAGCGCGCAGCATTACCAGAACGTGCGGGAAATAACAGGCGCACAGAGAACAATAGCGTGCGTAAGCAGCGTAACAGCTAGCGCGCGCAGGCAGCAATGCGCGAAGACAGGCACATTGGCGATGTGCAGCGGGGAGGCAAAGTAACCACGCGATACTATGCGTAGCAGACTATCGAACGCGCGCGCAGCAGCGGAGCGTGTGCGTGAGACAACAAGCAGCTCGGGGAAGACAGCGGGGCAGCGTGGGAAACTTGCACCCAGCCAGTAGCAGGGCGCGTGCGAACAGAAACAAGCAGCAGCGCGCGATCTTGGCAGGGGGAACGCGCGGTAGCAAAGGTGCGCGGCGGCAACGAGGGTGCATGGGCGCGCATAGGCTGGCGCGCAATAGTGGCAGGGCCCCTCTCTCTCTCCACTAAGATGATGTGGCGCTGTCCTCCTGCTGATGTGGCGCCCGCGACTCTCTTCTTCCCAGCGCCCGATGGTGACGACGATGATGATAACCACTTCGATCCTCCACAACGACGACGATGGGCGATCGCGAAGCTGACGTAGCCGATGGCGATCGTGATGGCGGGACAGCAGCAACCAGCTCTGATACGAGTGCAATCAGACTTGCTTCTTCGACTCAACATGCATGCAAACAGATACAGATGTGGCTGGCCCAGCGGCGCCCACGCAGAAAATTGAGAGATTTGAACTTGGTCAGGAACACAGTCAGACTCAGCTTATTCAGAAATGGCTATGGCGCACAACACCCAACAAGTTTCTTCCCCGACACTGTATACCCCGACAACGTGTTTGCACGCAACACATACTCACTCGCTACCTGGATCCTGTGTTGCACGCTGGTCGTGGCCGGGTTCGGTCCAGGCCGCGGCCGGCGGCCTAGGCCAGGACCCCCCCGGCCGCGGCCGGTCCGGCCGAGTTTTTTCGGCCCCGGCCTCGACCGATCCGGGGGGCGGTTTTCGAAGTGGGGAGCGGGTTTGGAGTGGGGGGGTGGGGGGGCACCCACTCAAAGTGACAAGGCATCAAAAAAATGAAAAACGGCGGGGTCCTGCACATGGCCTTGGAAGGGTGGGCCGCAAAAATTCGTGCGTCCCCCGCGTGCGGGTTTTTCGATGCGGGGTCGCAAGGGAGAGGGTCTGGAACACTAGAAAAAAAAAAAAAAAATCTTGACCCCTGCGGGGGCGGCGCAATGTGGGTTGGATGAGGGCCTGCTTTGGGCGGCCCATGTGGCCAGGTCGGATCGAAGCTGGACGGGGCTGCAGATGGCAGACCCCAGGCGGATCAGAGCCTCAGACACTGAAAGGCAGGCGTCGGTTCATTCGTGAGGGTGATGACAGTTCGTGACATGTTTTGAAACAACACATTCATGGCAATCATAAGTCAGACCCTTGTTGGCATACCAAAGTCAAAACACATTCAAAATCAATCACAGTGCGGCGAACCATAAGTTTCAAACAATGTTAACAGGCAAGTGTGTCATAGTGTGTGTTCACTCATCTGACTGGTGGACATTTTTGTAAGAACACATTCATTAGCACATCATCCCTATGTCACATCTGAAATTAACAGCACATTCATAATGGAGGCATCCATGACATGCAGGTGCGTGGCATCGGAGAAGCACATAATTTGCAACAATCACGACAATAAACCAGAAACCACTCACCAAACAACAGCGACTCAGATGCAAGACCAATGCTGGTAGAGGAACACAAACAAAAGCAAATATATGACAAAGCATTTCAATGGAAATGCGTATGTACGAGGCTGAAGCTGAAAAACTGGACCCGTCGTCTCTACTGTACAACCGAGTAGCAAAAAAAAATTGGACCCTATATACAAGGATGAAGCAAAAAATTGGACCCGTTGTCTCTATTGTACAACCGAGCAGCAAAAAAAAAAAAAAAAAAAAACTAATGTCCACATACTGTCGTCGTCTCCATGGAACAACATCGACGTAAATATGCAACAACCTTGCCGACAGAGCGTCCAGGATGTACAGCCGCGCGAAAAACAAAAAAAACTAATGGGAAAAAAAAAAAACCATGGACATCGTCATCTCCCTCCTGACCGCGCGCGGCCTCTCCCGGAGGACGGACGGTCATGCGGTCCTCCCCAGCGCCCTCCTCTCCCTCCGGCACCTGTGCCCCGTGCCCCGCTGAGGTATGCCGCTTGTGCTGCAGCGGCTGCCGCGGCCACCTGTGCCCTGCGTCTGCGGGCCGCTATCTCGATCGGCTCGGACTTTGTGTCTGCGTCCTCGTCCTCCGCCGCCCATGCAGCAATCCCCATCTCTCTCTCCCTCAGAATCGCGTCCAATGCTGGTTGGCCAGCGGCGACCCCTGCCGCGATTCGAGCCTCAACCTCCAAGAGGCCATGCTGTCGTCTTGTCCCGAGACGCATCAACAACCCCTCCTCGCTCGATGTGAACTGCTCTCCCTGCAGCATGTCCTAGATGTCCCTGCGGCCTCGATGACCAATACTCTCCTCGTCTCTGCTCCTGACCAACCGAGCATGCGGCCTGCCATCTGCAGGCTCGGACGTCCGGACCCACCCTCCGCAGCCTGCGTCTGAACTGGCGTACGTCTCGTGAAGACGCCCCTCCCCGCGTCGTAATCCGCCCTCAACCGGTCCCCGGCCCGACGAACAGCTGACCATCGGCCACCCACACCACCTCGGACTGTCGGCAGGGAACCGCCACTTTGCGCAACTCCGGGTGCCGCCGTCCGGTCCCCTGTTTCGACCCTGGCCTCCGGAGTCCATGCGGGCGGTGGAGGCATTGATCCTGCACTATCTCTGCCGCCGTCGCTGCGTCTGCCGGACCCCACCTCAGCCGCTCCGGACTCCCTCCCTCTCACACTGCTGAGCGACGAACCCGACCAATGAGGGCTGTGCACCTCGAACGGCGGCGGTGAATATACCCTCACAAGGGCCCGCCTCTTGCCGCTCTTGCGGCTCACGTGTGCGAAAGGGTCATCCGTCAACGCTTGCGCCAAAGCGTCGACGTCATAGAAAGTGTGCGATGTGTCGTCAGGGCGCAAGGGAGGTACTGTGGGGTACCTCAACACCAAGGCGAGCCTATGCGCATCGTCCTCGGGACTGTGGTCGTCGTCATCATCTCCGTCCGGTCCATCGTCTCCACCGACACCCGCGATATCCCCATCTCCACCGGGTCCACCCTCTCCTCTGCTACACACGGCGGCACCCTGTCCGTCATCACCCGCGGTCTCACTGTCGCCACGCCCCCCAGTAGGGGACCCACCGCCCACGACAACATCCTGCCCCTCATCACCCGCGGTCTCCTTGTCGCCCTGATGCCGAACACGTCCCGAACCGAATGGGCTCTGGACGGTTGGCTATGCTGGAAAGCGACAATCTGCCGCTCGATCTCCACCTCTGGAACACTGCCAGCAGGTCGCGCTCACCACACCTCGGGCTCCACATCTCCGTCCTCATCCTCGTCCTCTGCGGCCGTCCCCCCCCGACCGGTCCCCATAACCCATGGCAACACGTAGCCACCACCCTGCCGTGCGCACGAGGCCAGTTTGAGATTGGTGGCAATCTCAACCAGCTATGCAAGCTTGGCAAACCCAAGCTTGCACCGCCTCGCTGTGTTGATGCGCTCGTGCTGCGCCAAGTTTCTCTCCGCTGGAGAGCCAGACGTCCACAAGTGCATGACACGGATGGCGATGGTGCGCAACTCCGGGTGGGCACGTTCATGCTCAAACCACCACGCTGCACATCGCTCGGTCTCGCTGTCCCCCCTACAATCGTCCGCCTCGGCATCGGAGAGGTCACCTCCCCAATCCCCTCGCCTCGAGTGGAACGCCCTCATCTGGTCCCTCACAGTCCTGTACAATCTGCCGACCAGATCGCCGYCGGTCTGTGCCAGGAGAAATCTGTCGCACTCCTCGACCACACGGCGGTCGTCGGCGGTCGTCTCCAACGAATGGTAATACATGAGGGACCGTCGACGAGGGTTGAGGAGGTGGGCTGCGGCATGTGCGGGCTCTAGCATGTGGAGGTTGCGGATGGCAACCTCACRCACGCACGGCTCGATCATGTCCTCCGACACGTCCACCCTCCTCATCAACTGCAACACATGCTGACTCCACTCGTAAACGACGGACATCATCATCCCCCCCCCTATCCATCCTGTGCAACAGCTGGTGGACGGACGACATGACAAGGATGGCGTACTAGACACACCGCCAAAATTCCCTGTCGCTGATCTGCTGCTGCACCCACTTCATCTGAGATACATGCCTGCGCTCCCACGGGATGCGTGCCCAAGCATCGCCATGCAACATGCTCTCCAACGCGTCTCGTCGACCTTTGAGACACATCAGCATCAGGAAAACCGATGCGAACCGTGTCTCAACGGGCTCGACGAGCTGAACGCGAGGGCTCACCTTCCTAAACAGGGCGTGACCAGCACCGTGCGATTTAATAAATCGCACAAGCGCTCGAGCGCGGATGATGGTGTCCTTGATGCACCCCACTCGCGTCCCGATAACTGACAACATCAAGTTGCAGACATGGGTGGAGCAGGGGAGCCAAGTGATCCTCCTAATGTCGGGCTCGGGGTCAGTGGCGAGTCTGTGTGCTGCTGTCGTATAGTTACAAGCGGAGTCAGTGCAGAAGCCAATCATGTCCTTTGCAGGAAAGGACAAGATGATGGTCCGCCACCTACGGTACACGATGTCCGCGGTGTCTCGGACTGACCCGTCACGTGCGACGGTGGCGTATAGCAGGGCGCCATTGGCGCCCCGGCGAGAAAGTTCACGAGCGGCTTGCCGCTGCGCGACTTCCTCCCGTCGGAGAGGATGGTGGCACCGCTGTGGCGAAAAGTGGTGCGCACCTCGCTCACCATCGTCGCCACCTTCGCCCTCTACGAAGGGATACCGGCACCCGCTGTGACCCTGAAGGAGGGAAACCGGAACTGGATACTGCGAGGCACTCTCTCCGCCGCCTGCCGCACCTTCTGGAACTCCGGACCACGGAAGGCGTTGAATGGCAACCCCTTCACGTAGATCCACTGCAGCCACGCGTCTGTGAACTCCGCCAACTTCTCCTTGGCATACATCTCGTCAATCGTGGTCTGTCGAGCCCTCTTCTCCCTGCCCGTGTCTCGCACATCGACGCCAGCCTCCCCCACTGTGCTCTTCTCCCTCCTCGCGCGATCCAACTCAGGTCGCGGCGCCCTAGGAGCGGGACCCGCTCGACGGACGCCTCTCGACATCATCAGCACCTCCTCCCCTGGCAGGTCAGGCTCTCCTACTCCCTCGTCTGCCTCGTCTACCACCCCCCCCTCCCTGGCCCCACCCTCGCGGCCGTCCTCCTCATCGAGGGCATCCTAAATCTCATCCATCTCTGCGTCGTCCATCCGCTGTCGCTGGCCACCCGCAGGCGCTCTCGTGTCCCGTATGCCCTCGTCTGCCATCCACCTCTGCACCCGCTGAGCAGTGGACGGCACGAATGTGTAGTCCGTGCCGTTCCAGAGTTCCGCAAGAACTCTCATCCCCCCAGCCTTGCAGAACTTCGCCTTCGTGAAATGGCGCGCGGCCTTCGACGACGCCCCCTGAAACATGTGGCCGCATAAGTTGCAACGCAACTTTCAGTCCCCATGCATCTTCGACTGGTCCCCGACGTACTGCCCCGCAGTGACGAAGTTCCAAACAATGTTCCCCCGCCTTAACTTCGCCATCTCCTTCTCGGACACAAGGTTGAATTCGCCACCCCCAGACCCCCCCGCACCGCTGCTCCCTGCACCCCCCGTCATCGCCCCCCCACCCGGATCCAACAAGTCGTGGCGTCGATCGTCGATGTCGTCGGACCTTGCTGCACCGTCGATGTAGTCCCCGAC